TTTCTTGGCAACGAGACGGCACTAAACTACCACTTTTATTCATAATTTTATTTCCAGTGTTGATTTTTCTAAGCATTCTTAAGCAGGAAATCCTGACAAAGCCGAACCGATGGTCACCATGCTTCTAGGCGTTTCTCCGGGCATGTAAGTGTGACGAAAATGCAAGTGCCGAGTGCAAAGAATTATTCTCGAGTGAACAAAAACGAGGACGGATACCATTCATTCCACCAGCGACCAACAGAAAAAAAAGAAACAAAGCACTGAGACCAATTTGAGGAGTTGCTGTACAATCTACCGTCGAGGTGTTGGTGTGTAAGCCATTTTCTGTTTAGTGAGATCACCGCCAATACCATAGCGCTCCTTGACCTCTTCAAGACGTTCCTTTGCCTGAAGGAGATCATATTAATGTATGAAGGCAATAGATTCTGAAACTGATTATACAGTAAAAGACTGAGCAGCCAGCACGCAGTAGAAAGTATAATTAAATTATAAAATTAAGAAAGTTCTGCTTTTTAAAATAAAATAAGTCATCTTTGTGCGAGGAGAATTTGATCATTGAATAAATATTAAGACCGTTCTAATATTAACATTGTTAAATCTCAACTCGCGAGCCAACAAAAAAAGAATGCAGGTTATACGAGTATTGAACAATTGCTTATTCTCACCTTTTCTGTGTCCATTCTTTTGTAAGCCTTTGTAGCTTGATAATACAATACCACCAAATATCTAAATACGTAGATTTCCGAAGAGAATGTAAAGCAGCTCAACAAAATAGAATACCAAAGAAACAGCGTACCTATTGGAGACGTTGAAACCACTCATATGCTCACAAGCGTTCTTCGCATCGTAGATGTCTTCGTAAACAACAAATGCGGTTCCCCTTGTTTCGTTTGTTGATCCGCTGTGAACAGAAAGTGTACAATACATGTGGACCGATTTGAATTGAGCTCGTTAACCTTTAGGAACCGACTCGAAAATGACTACGAATTTTCGAAATGGTTCTATTTAGATCAGTAAGAGGTGGGTCGCTGGAACAGAAAGCGACAATTTCGCTTTTTGCATAGCAGAACCTTTCGCACGACTGATTTCAATGAAGAAATAATGAAAACCTACACTCTAATTTGTCGAATCGCTCCAAATTTACCAAAAATCTCGTACATTTCGCTGGAAGTTATTTTGTACGGCAGATTTTTAATGTACAAAATCCGGTTCACCTGAAAGTTGCGAGGAAAAGGAACATATGGCAGAACAAGTAACTACTCCAAAACTCGAATACCTCAGGTGGTAGCTTTGAATTCCGTCCTCTTGCTGCCATAGCCATTTTGAAAGCTTAGTTGAGGGGGTTGATTTCAAGTAAAACTGAAAGAAAACCCTTGAGTGCAGTCACAGAGACTTATCTACATAGTCTATCAAAGTATTTGAGACTTTAGGACTGTTTCAAAACAAAAAATGAAGAGAGATAGACCGACGTTACCGAAATCAAAACCACCACAGAAAAGACATCGGTGTGAGGTGACATAGACGTCAAATTCAAGGTGTTTGTGCATATTGCGACCAACCTGCCCAATACTACGACTGTGTAGCTTTATTCTCAGTGCTCTTCTCCAATTTCACTGTTTGTTCTGTGATAGTATTAAAAACGTACGTGTCTTTTTGAAATCGCTGTACAGTAGCTGAAGCCGACTCGATCATTGTTGGTGTTGTGTGACCAACATTTCAATTTTATTAGGAGAATATGTTGTGCAGCAAATCCCACTTCCATAATCAATGGGTTTTTGGATGCATCTCGTTTGTGTATAAAATGACCCAGACCAATGTTTACTCTTGGGCTTGGACTTTCCAGGTGTGCTGATTAGTCACTATTAACAAGATGGGAACCACCCTTTAGTTTGGCCGACGCATAGTCGGTCGTCCGACAGCAACGACCGCAAGTGTCGCATAAACCGCGGTCGCAAATGGAAGGCGACGCGGTCACCCAATGCAAACTGCTGTCGTCCGACAGCAACGATCGTAAGTGTCGCACTTCTGACGATCGATACGCACCTAATGCTGTGCGACACTTGCGATCGTTGCTGTCGGACGACCGACTATGCGTGCGGCCTTTAGGATGACAAGGGAATGACAAGGATAAAGCATTTTGATCAATCCCTTTTTGGGATGCGGCACGCATTCTACTTCCATTTGTACATTCGTAGTGGCGTTTGAATGCGATGTGGCCTATACAATGACTTGCGGGGGCCAGCCGATGTACAAGTCAGTGTTTTTATCCTCCCAGACAAGTCTGGTACCAATTAACCGACCCCGGAGGGATGGAAGGCTTGGTTGGCCCGGGCGACTCACGACCCAGGATTTGATCCCCGGACCGCTCGCGTGGTAAGCGTGCCACTTGCCACTACACCACTTCCGCCCGTGGCATAGGAACATACCTTCAAAATAAGATGATGAAATGGTAAAGATTTTGGTGTTGACCTTTATCCTCTCGGGATGCGCCATGCGTCATGCCTCAGAATCTTGGTGTTATTTGAATGGCTTGACCCAAAGTGGTGAGGGGGGGGGGGCTCCCAGACAATACCTAACCATTTGGGCGCGGCCGCGGCGAACGCGGCCGAGGATTGTGCCCGCGAACCGTTGAAAACGCACTCGAGGTGCCCGCGAACTGTGCTGTGCTGAGTTCGCGGGCACCTATCAACTCGGCCGCGTTCGCCGCGGCCGCGCCCAAATGGTTAGGTATTGTCTAGGAGCCTGAGGGGGGGGGGCAAAAAGACACTTCGCCCATGGCGCACGTCATCAAATTTTTCCTCGCACAGGATGCAGTTGTTGATGGATGTCTCACGGCAGAATATTCCTTAGGTGTCCCCCACCCCCCCGTGGACAGAAGTATTCCTTAATATTCACTTAGGTGTCCCCCCCTCCGTAGACAGAATATGACATTATTTCCGTTCACGCGTCGAGCTCAAGAGCTTACCCGCTAATCGCTGCGGCCTGAAGCTGCTACGTAGTTTCTTCAATGGATTAACCGATGAATAGCCTCTCAGAAACAATAGCTGTGATTATGCAAGACCGCTCGTGACCAGCATTTCAGGGGCGTCATAAATGGTCTATGGCACCTTGACGATCTCGTTGAGCTCGTACCGTGAATCACGTTTCATGAAAATCTTCTGATGTAGTCGGTATAGAACGCTTTTATGTAACTCTTCGATAGAATAGAACGTGCCTTCAATATTCAGCCTGCGCTCATATCTGTCTGGTTCGCATGCCGTATTTCTATCCGCTTTTGAATGTGGAGAGAGTGACTCTCTTTTAGCGCCTCCCCGTGGATACTCAGGCAAGACAAATTTTCAAGCTCATCAGTAACTCATACTTGACCAACTAATTTCGCTCTCGTAATCGCGTCTAGCTATGCATTTATTCAGTCTCTTTCTTCTATTATTTGCGTACTACGGCTTAAAATCTAAGTATTTCCAGAATATGCGGGTTAATAAAGTTAAAACTCGGAAAGGGAAGCGTGTGCTGGACGATCGCGCTCCAAAAACCGTGGAAAATGACAAGACCGCACTCATTGTGAAAGGCTCAAAAACTAATCAGACCGTAGTAGATGCGATGCTGGATATCTATATGCTGAAAAAGCCACTCATTCGACAGTTGAAGCGGTCAGTTTACAGTTTTATGAATTAACTAGATTGGTCCTCGGAAACCTCCCTTCTGCGTAGTCTGCGTTCCTTCTCCTCTCCTAATCCCCCCTCCCCCTTCCTCCACTGTTCTCCAGTTGCCACTGCATTACCTCGTGGAATGAGCGAAAGTGTCTTAACTAGGTGTTATAGCCGTTGAGGTGTTATCACAATCACACCATTGCAAAACATTTGCAGCAAGTCCAGCAGATTTGTGCGGCTTCTTTATCCCATTAGCTGCCACATCACTGATTTGATTTTGATTTTGCGGACGGACATACCCTATTTTGGAAGGCAAGAAGAGCGTCGAGTGCAGACTCGCACCACAAGTGGCGACGGCTGAGAAACAAGTGGTTTTTTTCATGGCCGCCGTCACTTGTGGTGTGTGGTCTGCACTCGACGCCCTCGCCTTTCGCTCCGGTGACGGGGAACGGTCAACAGAATCGATGGCTCGTCGCGCCACCGCGTGCGGCCAATCGTGCGGCGAGGGGGCGGAGCCTTCAGGACGAGTGTTGTCTATATCGACTTCTGAGTAGGATGGCGATCTTCACGGTTTCCCTAACTTATATCTTGAATTATTCATATCAAATTTTAACTAACAGATGTAAGTGGTTATTAATAAACGAAAGAACTTCTTTTCAGTTACCAAGACTTATGCTCTTCCAACCACTCCTTGAAAATGAGTAGCGAGTACTACCCACGTGCTTACGAGGCAACAGAGCTGACGCTCGCTACTAGTTTCCAGTAAGAGTTATGTGGATGCTATGAACAAAAACTGTTGCATCGAGTCATATATACCGCGGCTTATCGCAACCTTTCTGGGGCTCTAAACAACAAATTCAAACGAAATCTCAATTGGATTCTCTCACTGGACATTTCTGTTGTTTGTCCGAGCAATGAAGATCTTGTGCGACCTAGTCCTAAAGACAAGAGCACCATATCGTGTAATTGGTTATATCTGGGGAAAACAATGGTTACAGAACCTGTCCCAAGGTACTTTGCCGTGATGACTGCAACACTATGTTGACTCGAAACAATTCTTTTAATAGTCAACTATTATATATTCGCAGGAATAAGACCTAAAAATAGCTATTGCTTGCTATCATATGGTGTGGCTATCATATGGTTGACTACAACATTATCTAAAACATCCTTTTTGTTTGAACGAACCCAGAGTGAACGATTCATCCCGAACATCTTTTATGACCACATTCAAAAATTCAGCGTGTTGAGAGCATGTAAGAGCTGAATCACGATTGCGCGCATCAAAGCAAGTATTAGGTTGTCTCATAAATAGTGTCGCTTTTTTTCAACCAAGAAAATTTTGATCTAAATCCCCATGCTTTTACAGAGAGTTATATACCATTCGAAAGAGAATTGTCTGCTCTACAAAATATCGTGTTCTTCTTCCATCTATGTTCCATGGTTTTCAAATTTTAGGCCTGCGAAATGGGAGGTCCCGCCGACAAAAATTGACCAAACCGACAACTAGCTCTAACTTTATCTTCCCTTGGGAGAAATCAATCAATGATGTACCCTCTACTTATGCATGACCTCTTCTAAACATTACACTATTAGGTTTCCCAACAAGTCGCGTCATTCCATTTCCAGACCTGGTTTTTCAACCAGAACTCGACGGTCGAGCACCATTACCTGAGATCGAGGTCGAAATTTTTTTACAGCCGAGACATTGAAAAACTAGTAGAATTTCAAGAACAAGTCGTGACTAAGTTAGGAATGTACGCCTGGTTGGTTTTCTCATCTCCTCAAGGATAATTTCTTTCAAAGAAATGCGGTCACTTTTGTGGACAAAGCACCTTACTCCTAAACCCTAAAATTCGAGCTAATTCCTAACAAACATCAAAACAAAACAAATGAGCGAATAAAGCAGAAGAAGTGCTCACAAAAGATACACCAGTTGATATAAAACAATAGCGTTTCAGAGGAAGAATTTCAATTTGAAAATTGCCATGGCTTATCGGTCGGCCAATTCGAAAAGAAACAGGGCAAACCTTTTTCGGCAACCTAAGGGTGGAATGTTCAGAAGAGGTCATGAGTAAGTAGAGGGTACATCATTGATTGATTTCTCCAAGGGAACATAAAGTTAGAGCTAGTTGTCGGTTTGGTCAATTTTTGTCGGCGGGACCTCCCATTTCGCAGGCCTAAAATTTGAAAACCATGGAACATAGATGGAAGAAGAACACGCATTTGTAGAGCAGACAATTCTCTTTCGAATGGTATATGACTCGATGTAAAAGCATGGGATTTAGATGAAAATTTTTGGTTGAAAAAAAGCGACACTATTTATGAGACAACCTAATACATAACTTTAGTTTGGCTTACAGCAAAAGGAAGAAGTCGAAACTTTGACTCTCAATTCTTTTAGACATCAGAATAATTCAAGTTATTTGTCCAGGAAACACACCTAATCAGAGCAAAGATAGGATCACCTTACTGGTCGTCGTAGTTCTTTATTTTGTTCGCTACCACACGGTTCTCATAGAGAAAATGTGTTTTGTAAAATAATGGCGCTTTAGAGACACTGTGAGTGAACTTAGTAGTAGTGTAGACAAATTATATTCATGTTTTGATCACAAAGCCCAAAAAGCTACATGCTTATTATAGATTCAGATAAGGAACAACTACAATATTAAGATAGCTAATGAAAGTGACTGTATCCTTGCTCCGAAGTAGAACACGTAGGGTTCAACAATTAGAAATTCCGCTGAACAGTCATTCACAATCACAGTCATCGGAATGCTCAGAAAGTCCCACGCCATTAGTACATCCGATATCTGGCAATGGACACGCCCAACCCGCGCGCGTCGTGTGGCCACGCCCCTACTGGCGCGCGACGTCGGGAACTGCCTCGATCCCGTTCATTGTGGCTTGAAGCATGACAGGGCATTGCCCTACTAATGTGCCGTACGCCCGACCCCAACCCTGCGACATTGCATGTGCAAGGATTCCGCGTACACAAGACTATCATTGGAACATTAGAGCGAAGCAACGACCGAGTTTCAGGTCCCTAAAGCATGCTAAATGGCTCCTGAACTGAGCGTCGGCCAATGTGCGGAAAGTGGAACACTAACTTATTGTTCGATAGTCCCCAAGACGTTTCACAACTATCACAGCTTTTAATCTGGTGTCCGCCCACTCGTGCTATCTTGCCGTAGAAGAAAAAATTGCTAACTTGTGTAGGATGCAGTTGCAACAGCCTCCTCAAGGATACACACGTGTTTCATTTGAACATGTTACAGCAACATCCATATTATATTTTCGACTACGGAGACGCCGATAGAGAAATTTGTCGACAAATACGACTCTTCTCTTTTCCTCTTTGGTTCATCGACAAAAAAGCGTCCGAGCAGCTTAATCTTTGGACGAACTCACGATGGGCACATCCTCGATATGGCTGATCTTAGCATTGTGAAATTCATCCCTGCTCGAAATTTTGAAGTGAGTTCTGAACTTTCGCTTCGCTTTCTAATAATGCTCAATGTTCTTGTCAGACTCCGAAGGTGCCACTGGGTACGAAGCCATGTTTGTGCCTGGAGGGTACCGAGTTCGAATCTGATCCCACTATGAAAAGGATCGGGAATTTACTTGTCGACTTCTTCAAAGGACCGACTGTTGAAATGGTATTTTTTCATTTAATCTACCCTTAGACTTTCTAGCTTCATTTTTGGCAACTTGTTTTAACTTGTCAGTTTCCTGTTATACATTTGCGTTGAAATAATGTGAATTCTTTTTATTCTAATGGAAAACACCCATCTAGATTCGTCTCGAAGGGTTGGAGTCTTTCATATCGTTCACAGCAAAAGACAACATGATATACATGAGGGTGTACAGGTACTTTCTTTACATTGCTTCCTTTGAACTTTAATCTGTGCATTTGTTTGGATGTGCTATTTGTGGTGCTCGCTTACAGTGAAAAGACATGCATTTTTTTCAGAGTTTTATTGCTGAAAAGTGCTACCAATGTACCGAGGATAGAGCTTCTTGAGATGGGCCCATCTATAGATTTTAAAGTAGATCGCACAAAAATTGCTAGCGACAGTCTGTACAAGGCGGCATGCAGGAAACCGAAGGCACTTATGGTAAATACAGTTTTGAATCTCACCATTATTTCAAGTCGATGGCGTGTACCAAGCTTATGTTTGCGCTTTTAAATTCCATAAACAAGCACTTAGTTGACACTGAAGATTCTGCGTGCTAATGACGTGCTCTTTGCAATGCTTTTTTGACGGTTCCTTACGTTTTCCCTCCTCATCAAGGAGATGGTTGTGGTGATTTTTCAGATACTCGATGAGAAAAAACGTCAGAAATTTGTTATGCCATGCGGCTCAATTTTCTCGTATAATGCTTAATTTTTAGTCTCGGCGTCGAAAGAACATGTCCGAAGATGTGTTCGGAAATCAGCTTGCTCGAGTTCATCTTGGAAAGCAGAACACGGATGCTATACAAACGAGGTATATATCTTGTTTCTCGCATATCGTAATTGGTTTCAAGTTAAAAGAAGTGGTCGCGATAAATCGCATGGAAGCGAATAGGAGAGTTTCATAGCGGAGTGGGTGAGCAGCCGTATCCTCTTACTCGTCGTATCTTCCATGGGGATACGCGCTCACCCAACTCACCATCAGCTCGTATCTCGAGTCCTTCTGTTGACACTTGAAAGCCAGCGCGACCGCTTCCTTCAATAGTTAAAGGAATCCTTCACGGAAAAATCATGATTCTATTTCAGCCATAAATCACTGGCTTGAGACTCATCATCCACGATAAGAATGAAAAGAACAGAAATATTGCTTTTGTTTTGGTAAAAAATTCGAAAAACCGAAAGGGCTGCTACGCGTTCAAAGTACCGCCGGACATCTGTCACAAATGCTGGCGACGGAATGCTTCCACTTGGTTCTTGGAGTTGACTTATTGCATTCACTTCACACTTCTACTCCATCCTATTCTATCGATCGATTTGTCTCTACTCTCCAAAATCGCGCGCTTTAACCCGATTCTTTCATTGCGTCGCCTGATACGTAGCCGGCCCCCGACTTCTTTCCATGCCCCGCCTTTGGCTCCGCCCCTTTACCTTCGATTGTCCATAGAGTGTAGTTTTTGTACGTTTGTTTCTCTTCGGAAACCGAATCTTCATGCGTGAAACTTTGTGTGCTGTTTCCAGTGATCACAACTGACACATTCATGTTGGAAAGAATGCAAGAATTTTCCGCGAAGGATTCCTTTAATATAGTAACGAGTAATATTAATACTACTGTTACTAGCAGTACGTCAACAGAAATCACACCTTCTTTGTTGTTGATTTAAAATGAAACTCTTCCAAAAGCTTTATTTGACGACGTTTCGGGCCGTAAGCCCTTCTTCAGGTCTATAACATCATCCATACATTAACGTACTCACATAAAAGAGGTAATCATATACAACATGATATACGAAGTCAACTAACCAAGTACAAAAGGAATCCGGGTTAAGGGAAGCGGATCGACTCCGCTGAGTTCGTGAATCGCTGTAAGAATGATGGGATAGAGATGTGGAAGGAAACGTGAAGGGGGACCAACCTCTCCTGCTACTCAGACGGGAAAAATAGAGCAGCCAGATAGAGGGTGATCATGGTAAAGATGTTAGCAGGTAATACTCTTCATTTACCATCCGTCACGTAGCTCCATCTCAAAAACTCATTGCATAGCGATGATTTCATGTATTCGGAGTTCTTCCCTTTTTGATGTGGAGATTCCTCCATCAGTATTTTCGAGCACCTCTTTTATTTTCCTTTCCACCGGGTCACTTCCATCGGGAAGAAGGGCTTACGGTCCGAAACGTCGTCAAGGAATGCTTTTGGAAGAGTTTCCTTTTCTTTAAAGGAAGCGGTCACGCTGGCTTCCACGCTGGAATTTGCTACCCTCGCGTTATCAATCGATAAGGTGTGAGGCAGTAATTGTTGGACGAGTGTAAGCCCATGGAAGATATGATACGATGAGATAAGAAGGTGCGGCTGCTTGATAAGAGGTGCACTCCAGAATGAAAACGGGACGATAACGATAACGGTATCATATCTAGCACGCTCTTATCGCACCCCTTTCCACATCGATAAGTCTTGGTTTTTGCTGAACGGAAGTGGATTTCGGCGCCTTATCACTCCGTTGATAAGGCGCCACTGCCACTGAAACTTCACGTGTTCTAACATTGGGCAGGACCTCTATCCACTCCAATACATAGCTTCCCTTCGTTCCCATGAAAATTATCGTGACCACTTCCTTTAATCAACAACAAAGAAGAAACTTTTGTGAAACAATGAAGCTCAGGAACCCTCTGATCTTATTGATAAGGAATTACACCAATATGTTGGTATGAAAATAAGTATATCTACTTTCAACTAAACCG